TTAGAGCACCATTATCATGTCACCAGATCTACTGCGTTTTGCCCTTTTGCCTTACTGAGATGCCTCTTACATTCCATTTGCCCCCTCATCATTAGCACTTCCTTCGATTTATTGCTAACCTAGTGAACTTCGGTAAATTTGCTCTGCCACTGGAAGTGTGCGATCTCGTTGGAACTTAACTAGCGTGCCCAGTAGTCCCTTTGGCTCATCTTGGCGCATTTCGATTACATTAATGTTGTACAATTATCCCTTCATAGTTTGGGGTTTCATGCTTTTTTTATGGAACGTCTTGTCCTACCATACACTTGAGTACTGTTCACAGTTGAGCATTCGTCGCGCGTCCCGTTTCACCTCGTTGTCGTAAGATTTTGTTTGAAAGATTCATCAAGAAAACTGATGGAATTCCTTAATTTTCTGAACACATCTCAGCATAGTTTCCTCGATAGAGGTACCTACACGACTTGCCAGCTCCACTACCTTAATTACACTTCAGAATCCATAGGCCCCAGTTTCTGCCACCATAATATTACTTTTAGACCTAAAAGAAGCATTTGACCGTGTATCACGCAAACGGTTATTGAAAAAGGATGAATATTTTGGAATTTCAAACTCACTTTTAAGCAATCGGTTTCAGCTAGTCACCTTGGGTGACGACCACTTTTCAACGCTCAGTTAGCAATGACGTCATACAAGCAACTGTACTTGGTCCTTTGCTTTTTCCCTTCGACATCAATGATATTGGTATGTCCGCCAAAATGACGGACTCTTTCTACTTGCTGATGATACCAAGATTGTCTATAAACTTCGGCGTGATGCGATTCAGAGCACACTGCGTTTAATTCAACATGACCTTATCTCTCTTGAGGATTGGCCCGAAACGTGGCTGATAACACCACCGACTAACAAATCAAGCATTACGTCATGTGGTTACTCGATCTCCGAAGGGTCAGTTAAACTTAACAACAACGGTGCTCTCGGAATCAGGTATTCCTTCGACTTCGCTTTTCTGAAATAACCCAAGACCAAATAGCTCACGCCAGACAGTTCGTGGCTATGCCACAAAATGCATACAATCCCTGCCAAACTGATATTATTTAAAATTCTCACTCGTCCTCTTCTCGACTTCTGTAACTTCATCTGTGGCGGGGTGCGGAAGAAGCAGCGAGTAGGTTAGTTAAATAGGCAAGTTTCAGCGCTTGGTAACCGCTGATTCCGATTACACGTGCTAATTTTGGCAAATGTGGCACATGTGCTGCATTGTCGCTACAGTTGGTCTGTACTTGTACCTGTGGGTGCACGTGGTCGCACTTTTGATGGCATTTGCCGGTTGATATCCTAATTATAGGTGATGTTGATGTGAAGGTTGACAAGATGCCTGCCTGTGGAACACTGCCACCTAGATTACCGGCTCTGGGAGACTACCAATTGTTGGTGGGGAAGACTGGGTGCACAGTCTTCGTGACGGTGCTAGACTCAAAGAGTGGTTCCTTGCATGCAGCGTGGAACGGCCTACATCTGGTATGCATGTTTCCCCTGTTCAAATGAATACCGTGCTGGAGGAATGTTGACCGGCTCCGTATCAATCGTGCCTCCCTATCTCTTATTCCTCTGGGTTTGCACTAGATATGAGGTGTGTGGGTGGAGCTGTGAGTGGTGCAGCGCAAACCACCCATAGTCCCTTAATAGGGGCAGTCGTCCGGTGGCTGTTCACGGTCACAGAGACAGACAAATCAAATAATGGGTATCGCAAACCATATATATGACCATCAATCATCATTGTCGTTCCATTTCTCCGCCAGGAAACTAAGCAGGTTTAAATTGCGTCGGTGATTGCCATGTGATCTTTCAAGACCACATCTGCGTAACGGGGCGAGGACCTATCTGTTTAGCGATCAAGAGTGGGGCTTATAAAATCGTAATGCAGCCGATGCCTTTGTTTAGATCGAAGGTACGACTGTTGTGCATGGGATTTAACAGAGGACCCACCTACCCTAACCGACGGTTCTTACAGAGTATCGCTCATTTTGGTGGAAATACCCAATGATTAATGATGAAGTGTGTTATTTGTCAACAACTTCAGGCACGACAAGTAACCAGCCTACATCAGCTTAGCTATGTGCTTCGCAATTCTGCTGACAATTTGCTTACGCATGCTGTCTAACAGCGCTCCATTTAATTGATTAACGGCCCTAGATCGCTGTGCAATGACAAAACACTAGGACATCGCACGATTGTGTGAAGTTTGGTTGGCTTAATGTATGCAACTCTGATAGACTGGGGTCCCAGAGTCTGCTATCTGTAAAGACGCAGTCCCTCCGCCCACTGTACTTCTGTGTCCTGTATTTTACATAGGTATTTTAGTTTTCTTTCTCTATCATTTTCGCATTTCCTCTTACTTGTCCTACTATATTATGTAAAGCCACGACGAGAGTCTTCAAAACTGAATCCTGCACGCTGCGGTGCTTGGACCATTGTTGAACAACGGAAGTGCACTCGAGTAGCGCCTAATCGTCGCTTCTCCCTCTGCCATCAACACTCTTCTGCCATTTTAATCTGCAACTTTCATCGTTATAACCAAGTTACTTCAACAGCGTCGTAGTGTCTTTCCATTCATATGGAATTGTATTGATCAGTATCACTGATCACCAGTGTCACTCCCTGAAATGTGCTAACGGCGGACGATAGGGATTTGTTCCAAATCGCGAGTCTTGCAACTCAGTAATCACCGCACGTATCAAATGTTTGCAATCACTTTTTCAGCCTTCGCTTCCTCTACTTCGTTTCTTTCCCTGTTCACTAGGAAAAATCGTTTATCTCGTGAGGAGGAGTTACCACGCAAGAGAAAGAATATTGTGAAGCTCAAGAAGGCAAAAGGCACACCTCGTTGATAGTGTTTTAATGAAACAACTGGCGTGTAAATAAATCGATCTTTTTCTTGTTTTGTTGCTCTGCCTTCATCATTCGGTTTATGGATTTTTTATGGATATTTTACCATCTTTGTTTATTCATATTCCTTCAGGCGTTAATCAATACTCGTCGAATTCCTCATTTGGCATTTGGTGTGATGAAGGGGATTTTTGGCTCTCAGGTCCAGTATTAAGACGCATGTAACTATTAACATTTGAAATGATGTAGTACCGCCCGACGGGGCATTGAAAACATAGTTAAACTAGGCATTCGTTGAAAATGCAGTTAGCCCGGTACTTTCTGATCTGACTTAGTGCTAGCTATTAAGACGCATTTCGGCTCCATCACTCCTCTGATGAGGCACAATGGAGAAACCTGGACTCCTTGGAGGGCATTGAACCGTTTCACGAACACTAGGCGTTGACACGCCGAATTACCGGGAAATGAAATGCACCATGTAGGACCCTCCCAATGCGGCTAATTACTGTTATCTTTAGACTCAGGAGCAAGGGCAATACGTCATGGAGTCCGATAAATGACGTGGAAATTAGTTCCTTTAGTCACGCACCTCGTTGGGGGACCTTAAGCAGAGTGAGACACGCATGGTTTGAAGACATTCGCTACGAGGTAAACCCTCCATGTAAGTGATGAAGGTGGCGCTGAATTGCTCCAGATTTCCACGTCACTTCGTCGGTGAACACTGATGATAGTACGCGCTTCTCAGTTTGGTCACTTACGCAAATGGCCAACCACAGTCAAAGAACTGAAATTTGCAGAACACTACCAGGGACACGTAAAAAGCTACCTTCTGCAAACGCACTTTTATTCATGTCCAGAAATACAGTCATATTGAGGAAACGACCGGATGTTTCTCATTTAATGGTCATCGTAATGTCAACGAACTACATATACAATTTTCAGCCCCTGTTTACTTCTTTAGCATCGTGAGTATTTTTTGCTGCAGTTTTACTAACGCGCGATCAGGTATAATGAGATAACAGGAATTAAAAGAGAGGAAAAGAGAGAGAGTGTTCCGAGTAGGTAACACCGCTCATTCACAAGTAGAGAGCTGTCGTGTGAGAGCAGTGAGGCACTGACTAGGTATCTCTATGCGGTTTTTGTAGTCCTGCGACATATTCGGCCTCAGTTTAAATAAGCACTCCGACCGGGACACGATAGAAAACGCGAGCAACATTTTGTGTAGTCTCAGCCTAAGTACAGAGTGGATCGTATAGGTTTTAGTCTGGCAGATGAGTAGAATTAACACCCGGATTTATCGCCATAGTCTTCAGTCGCCGCTGCCGTCTCAGCCATTGAATCTCTCGAACATGTACCATACTAGATCCGATAAACAAAAACTTAGGCAAATGTTTGGCAAACGAACGTAGCACGCACCTGAAGCAGTGCAACATGTTCAGCCTTACTTGTTGATCGTAAGGAATTATCTGACCATCAGCGCCTTGCACATAACATAGTTGTGAGCAAGTTGGTAATACACGACACA